GCTTTGACACCTTTATATCATTAGATCATCACCTAACCCATCAATCATAATAACTATTGATATAATCTAGCATTGAATTCATCGATGACCCCTCGATATAGATCGTGCCATTCAAAATTTTCAAAATCAAGAGTCGCGATCAACAACCCCTCGATAAAAGTTGAACCATTCTAACTTTCTAGTATCAAGAGTCAGGAATTCCTTTTTATTTCTACAATGGGGTTCTTCTCGTCATAACTTTATCTCTTCTTGTGCAGGTCATCATAGTGTGCATATTTATCTCATATGATATGACCTTTTATTTGCTTCTTTTAATTTATTATCATTATCGTTGATATTTAAAATTGCATAGCCTTAATATTCATTTGTTATCAATTAATCTGTTTTAAGAGGCATCCGAGGTAACATGATATATAACAATTTACCTCTATGTGCTCAAATAAATATTATTTTCCATCAAATAATCTGATGAATTGAGCTAATTAAAATATATTGAATTCATTTAAACAAGTACAACAATAACATCAAGCTTTTGAGCACTACGTGGGGTCGACTATATGAATCCTTTTTCTCCATTGTGTCCTATTAAAAGTCAAATTCCCGTTTAAATCTAACAAAGAAAGATCATTTCTAATACTTTTTATCCAAGTCTTTTTAGGTTTACCTCTACCTTTCTTAACAAAAGTCAAATCTAATACCTCTACTTTCCTAACTGGGTCATTGGAAGGCGCCGTTTTATGTGACCAAACCATCTAAGACGACTCTCTCTAATCTTATCTTTCATTGGAGCTACTCTAACCTTTTCACTTTTATGCTCATTTCGTATCCTATCTCTAAGGGTAAAGCCACTCATCCACCTGAGCATCCTCATCTCTGCAACAATTAACTTAGTATTATGCTTCTCTTTTAATGACCAACATTCGACACCATAAAGCATTGCAGGTCTCACCACCATCTTATAGAATTTTCCCTTAAGTTTGAGGGGGATTATCGCACAACATGCCTGATGCATTCCTCCATTTCAACCATCCAACTTGGATTCTATTGATAATATCCCCATCTATTTCACCATCACTCTGAACAATAGATCCAAGATATCTAAAACGTGTACTCTTATTAATGACTTAATCTCCCAAAGTCACAATCCCCTCGCTAGGTCTATTACTACTAAAATTATACTCCATGTATTCAGTTTTAGATCTACTCAAGTGAAAACCTTTAGATTCTAAAGTTGACCTCCATACTTCAAGTTTACCTTCAAGTCCCTCTATAGTATTATCAACAAGAAGAATATCATCAGCAAAAAGCATACAACAAGGTACATTCTCTTGCAAATGTCTAGTGAGAACATCCATGACTAAAGCAAAAAGATACAGGCTTAAGGTTATTCCTTAATATAATCCAACCAAAATAGAAAAAATACTTGGTCAAACCACCTTCTGTGAAGGTTTGAATACAAGTAATAGCTCATGCATACATATCTTTAATGATTTGAATATAAACATTATTAACTCCTTTCTTTTCAAGAATGCTCTATAGCACTTCTCTTGGAACTTTATCATATGGTTTCTCTAAATAAATAAATATCATATGTAGATCCTCTTTATTCTTTATATATTTTTCCATCAAACCTCTCAAAAAATGTATAGCTTCCATAGTAAACCTACTGGGCATGAATCCAAATTGATTTTGAGAAACATTAGTATCACGTCACAACCTACGCTCCATAACTCGCTCCCATAGTTTTAATGTATGACATATTAACAAGTAATTTTATAAAATGCATTAGACTTGTTGATATGATCATGTTATGCTCAATCTGAAGAATATCTACTTGCATGTGCATAATAGCTCAATGGAATTATGAATCTTGACAAATATTAAGTTCCAAGGATAATTTATTCCCTATATTAGAGATTGAGTATCTCACCTGAATTATAGGTTCTTCAGGATAAATTTCCTTATTTTTGTCACCCTGACATCTTGTTCTTTAATAAACAATCAAATAATAATAAATTTCTCAATTTAAATAATTTCTTTAAATTTTTCACATCGAATTTAAATCAAATTAACATCAAATAATATATTTGCCTCAAATTGATTTCTCTATATTCAAGCTTTTAACCCTACAAACGCGAATCTCAACTCAAGTTGTGGAAGAAATTACTAAGATAAAATTGTTATTGAATAATCTTGAATTCTCCTGTTTTTCTTTTTCTTCTTCTTTACTTCTCTCCCTCTTCATCTTCTTCTTCTATATTCCTTCTTTTTCTTTCTTCTTCCCTACCTTCTCATTTTTCCTATTTTCCCTTCTTCCATATCATTCTTCTTTTCTCTGTTTTACTTCTCTGTACCGAGCTCCCCTTATGCCTGGTTCCAGGTCCTGAGCTTACCTGAACTTCCATCCTGATAAGTGTTAATAGGGTTAAATTACATTGCTTAGGTTAGGTAATTTAATAATTATTTTCTTTAATTTAATAGCCTTTTTAAGTCCACATTCTGATTCAGCTTTAATTTTTGAACTCAGCCATTTCCTGCACCCAATTTGGGAAAAAATGGATTTTGCGACAATACAGTCGTTAGTGAATAGTATTATTAAAAACTTTAGGTCATTTTATTTAATTAGAAAATTAATTAATAAATTCCGATATACTTATTTATTTATATACACTTCTATATATCAAATGATAGAAATAAAATATAGAATTTATAAAATGGTTTCAGTGATTTTTGGCAAAAAATGAGGTAATTTTTTATGGAAAATTCTCATCTTTTTTTAAATTTTGCATCAAGATTGAATTTAGAAATCAAATCCTTAGCAAATAGTAGAAAAGCCTCGTGCATTCTTACGATACTACAATAAGAAGTTTTTATCTCACTACGTGTGGTCAACAACATGAATCATTTTTCTTCATTATGTTTTATTAAGAGTCTTATGATAGATGTTGTAAAAGATTTTGATAGCATTTTCCCTCTTCATTCTTTCCTGTTTATAGTTGCTTCCTGAAACATGTGTTGTTGATGGAGATAGCTGTATGCGACTTTCAAAATAATTTACTTATGCCTTAATTAAATAATGGAGATACCTGTATGCGACTTTCAAAATAATAGACTTATGCCTTAATTAAATGAATGGAGATACCTGTGTGCGACTTTAAAAATAATTGACTTATGCCTTAATTAAATGAATGGAGATACCTATATTATTTCTATTAGAAACCACCATTTTCATGGTGATATGACAAGGCTGGCAATTTTTTTTAAAAGGTTGGCATTTGGACCTACATGTCATCTTTATTTGAATCCATGTATTCTTTGTTAACTCTGTATGTTGTGTGAGCTAACTGAAATTTCATCATCGAACAACAGGTTAGGTCTTAGTTTCCTATTTTGTGATGTATTTTAATGTCTTATCTTCTCTTATAATTATCATCATCATTCATTACCACCTTTAACTTAATTTTTTGGGGTTACCCCATCTTATTTTTCTTATCACAATCATCTTTCTTTATCACCGTTAACCCAACTACTTGGTTTTAGCCTGTGTATCCTCTTTCTTGTTCTTTTACATTGAGTGTTGCATGAGATGCTAACACAATTTTATGCAAATCTGTAATGACGTAATCATACTACCTTTAAGCGTCTAATTTTTAAGTAATTCTTTCATAATAATTTTATCCGCCTGCTTTATTGGTGTATGTTCCATTCTCCTTTTAACATATCCAAATCACAAAAACTTATTTTCTGTATCTTATCTTTACAGGAGTAGACTTTCATTTTCTCTTTGATATAAGCATTGCTAACTGTCCTTTTTAGTTTTATCATTCATCTTCATTATTATTTTCTTTTACGCCACACTCAACTTGAATATTGATGTCTTTATTGTAAGGTTATGGATGGTCGGATAGAAGTTATATAAAATCTACATTTAAGGCTTCAGGAGTTTCTCTTATTTCATATCACTCTTATGACATTTCCATTTAACTACAAATTTAACTCTTGAGGTTATGTCCACATTTGCATCCTCTTTCTTTTCTCGAATAGAACCAATTTATTTAAACATATGACATCTCAATTTCACTTCAACTTCCACTAATGTTGGTTACTAATTTATCATTGCCATGGATTAAAATTTTATATCATCAATTCATTTTTCTCTGTATTAATCTTGAGCTCTTTATCATCTGAAAAATACCTCCATTACCTCCATTCTTCCAAATTTTCACTTATTTCAAAATATCTCCCTTATTAGAACTATCTCATTTTAATAACATTTACTAAGATGGTTTCTTGTGGATTTTCTTATAAGCTTATCCATGGCTATATTATATTTGATCGCTGATGTGCTTTTACTAGAATTGAAAACTCTTTGGTTATTCCACAACTAATATTATTCATAATTGCATTGCACATATATTTAGTAAGTTCAATATGCCTTTTCTTTGCATGTCAAATCAATTCTACTCATAATCATCATGTATTTTCATGTTAATTTAAAATCACATGAAAATCCTTTCTTTTCTCTCAATATTATTTTCAGTGATTTCCAAAACGCAGAAATATCAACTACAAATATTTAAGATAAGCCTAATGATGATGGTGACAAATATCACCTCCATTTTATTTTTTCTACTCTCTTCTACAACTTTCTTTTATGAATTATTAAGTTGATTCCAATATAGGTATCACAATCTTAAGCATATTATTTTTTTCTTGAACGGATATCAAATACTTGTTAAATGATTTGACATTCCTTTAGTCTTTATGACACCATTAAAAGATTTGTTAATGAGCAAGCTGCTCTAATTTATACAATAACTCTGCAAATCTTACTTGTTATCCCGTACGAACTTAGCTTTATCTTTATTTATGCTATTCAAAACATGCAACATCACTTTTTTTTTAATTTTTTATTGTTATGTTGGATTCTTTCATTAATTTTGATAAAAAATAGTTGCTGTTGCAGAGTTCTTTCTATAGCACTTATTGGTTTTTGTCAGGAAGATGAACTCAAGAAGGGTGAAATGGAGGCAGACAAGGATAGAATGATGCGAGATTACAGGGCACAGCTGGATGCAGATAGAGCTCGTAAGCTTGCTGCTGGGAGGAACCATTCAGACATCAAGTTGCATAGAAAAAAAGGTAGGACAATAGAAAACGTATGATTTATAATGTCAATTTAATTATGCTGGCCGACAGAATTTTTTTCATGATCAAAAGTAAATGGTGTGCTAAAAATGAATATGGTCTACCCTTCGATGCTATCTTTACTTTATTATTGGATTTGTAACAGCAAACATTAACCAATTGCATGTTAAGGGAACTGATATAGAATAAGTATTTTATGGAATACTTTGGTTTTTCCTCATTCTTATGTCTTCTTGCTCTTAATAGATGCTAAAATGGGATTGCAGCAAATGAAAGGGTAATCAAAACATGGATATATCAAGAAAAACATGATATAACAAGCATTGTAAATGAAAAATCCATCGTATAATAATTTAACTATGCTAGTGACATAAGTTTGCATGAAGAATCCCCTAGAAAATTGCAGGAGACAAGTGCGCAATACGATAGGACACCTTTACTGCAACACATGATATGTCAATTCTAATAAATCAAACAAGTCAATTGGCTTGGATGTGGTAGAAAACGGAGCCAAAGAAGACCATACATATAGCCCAGTTAACTATAATTAAGCTCTAGTAAATTGCTTAAAGTTAATGGTCGAAGACAAGACAAACAAGCCCCACTGATAAAAGACAAAGATTGTTACTATGGTCATCCTGACCATATGATCATAATTACTCTTAATGTATTTTGATCTTGTTGAACATAACTTGTAGTCCCTTGAGGACTATATCATATTTTTTGACCTTGTCAAAGCTAATTGCCCACTATGCCAAGATCTTATCATCGTTTCTTAGTCTTTCAATCTTTTATCTCTTCTATAATTTTTTATAATATTATTTGAGTAGGATTTACAAAAATGGTGCAGGATCATTATGGTTAATGAATCTCTGTCGATGACTTTTAGTCATGTGCCCATTTAGTTTTTTTTAATGTTTTAAATATGCTTCTTATATCAAATGTGTAAGGACACATTATGTTTATTTTGTATTAATTTAGGTTATTTTGAATCTACATTGAGAATCTTGTTTTTTAAAGGTGTCCTGAGATTGTAAATGGGAGCAATGATTGTATATTTATGGAACTTTGGTTTCTCAAACATAGCTTCTCACTCCTCTCCTCTCTTATTCCCTTCTTTTTCCCTTGGGTCTCTCTTATTAGTAGCCATCGTTTTAAAGGCTTTTGAGGCGAATGTCTCGAGGTGCATCTCGAATCGAGGCGTGGCGTGGGTGAATTGAGGCTTAAGCCTCAACTGCTCGGTCGAAATGTACGCCTTTTTTCCCTGAGGCGTATGCCTCAAGACTTGAGGCGCCGAGGTGAAACGTGGCGCTGCCTCAATTTATCTCTATTTTTTTTCGCTAGAGTCATGTGTGTGCGTGAGTCGAGCACACTTATTAGACTTAGGGCTTCTATTTCGAAGCACTTTTGCCGCTTTAACTCTCTCGTTCTTTCTCACTCCCCATTCTCTCTTGTTCTACTTCCGCCGACTTTGACGTGCCTCTCTAACTTCGACGTGTCTCTCCGACTTTGACGTGCCTCTTCGACTCTGACTCTGACGTGCCAAGGCAATAGTCGTCTTTTATAATCTTCGCCAAGGTAACGATTTATTTCCTATTTCTCTTCGCCTGATATTTTTAATTTTATCTATAAATCAAATTGATATTTTTAATTTTATCTATGAATCTACTACAAAATTTGCAAGAAATTCTCTAACCATATACATTATGTTCATTCAATTATTCATGAGAAATTAATAGTTAATAAATTCTTATGAAATTAATTGTTAGACAAAATAGGGCATATGAATTCATACAAAGATTTGTGATAAATGCTTATAAGTATGAAATTATGATAAATTCTAGTATTAGTTCAATTTAAAATATGCTTGATTTCACTTTATATCATGAATTATCAATGCCTTAGATTTTTTATATAAATCCTGATAAAATTAATTGCTAGAAAAAATAGGACATGAATTTATACAAATATTTGCGATAAATGCTTATAAGTAAGAAATCCCGATAATAAAATTGTTATATGTAATCAATTTATGATTAAATTTATATTTTTAATTTGATATTAATTGTTTATTCATATCAATTATTACTATGACTAGTGACGTAAGAAGGAAAGATCATGTATTGAAATATGAAACTCAAGTTGAAGTATAATATGAATGTACGAGGAAGGGATATGTTTATGTGAAATGTAATTTTTGCGAGAAACATATAACTGGTGGTGTCAAGAGGTTGAAGGATCACCTAGCTTACACGCATATCAATATGAGACCATATGCAAAAGTACTTAATGAAGTGAAAAAAGAATGTATAAATTATTTAAAGAAGTTTGCCATCACGAAAGAGATCATACAAAGAAATATGAAAGAGATAATAGGAAATTTTTGTTTATATGGTTCATAGCATGAATGTTCGAGTAGTGGAAGACAGCTACTTTATTCTAACTGAGACACTTGGGAGCCCATCGATAGATTTATGATTAATATTGATGACGAGAAAGACACAAATACTCAGGATATTCCTCCTACTGCTTCAAAGAAACTTAGAAACATAGTTTGTTTAGATATTGTCGGATTCATCTATGAAAATAATATATCATTTAATGTTGTTAGGAGTCCATCATGGATCAATATATTATGATTTGTTAGAAGTTATGATAGAGGACTCAACTTCCAAGCATATATGAGTTGAGGATTTGGATGCTAAATGAGGAGGTCAAGATAACTTCAAAAATGTTGGAAGAAGTTAAAAAGACTTGGATTGAGATAGGAGTGATAATGTCAAATGATTGGTTAGATATTTGACATATAAGTATTGTTAATTTCTTTGTCAACAATCTTTATAGAACTGTTTTTTAAAACTAATGGATGCTTTAAATTTTGTAAATGATGCACATTTGTTATTTAAAATATTGGATGAAGTTGTGGAAGAAGTATGAGAGATCTTAGTAGTATAAGTTATTACTGATAATGTAAGTACATACAAAACTGTAGGGAGATTGTTAACGGAGAAAAGACCTCACCTTTACTAGATTCCGTATGCTGCACATTATATTGATTTAATGCTTAAGAGGTTTGGATAATTGCCTCAGCATAATTCAACCCTATTAAATGTCAAATTCGTTAATAAGTTTATTTACAATCACTCTTGAGTATTAGGCTTGATGAGAAAATTTATTGAAAAAGAAATTATTTGACCTACCATTACGAGATTTGAAATTGCATATTTAATATTGCAGATTTTTAAGAAGTTAAGACAACTTTTGAAAGCTATATTTATTTTTGAAGAATGGAATAAAAGTTCATGAAACAAAAAACAAGAAGAAAAACAAGTTAAGAAGATTGTTATAAAACATGATTTATTTTGACATAGTATAAATTATATTTTGAAGACAACATGATCATTAGTTAAGATATTTAGAATGGTTGATAGTGAGATGACCCTAGCTATAAGATTTATTTTTGAAGCAATAAATATGGTTAAAGAAGAAATAACAAAAAATTTGGAAGGTGAAGGTGTCTGCAATGAAATATGAAATGTTATAAATAAAAAGTATGATCGTCAATTACATCAATACTTATATGCTGCTGCATTTTATTTAAACTCTCAATTTTATTATGATAAGGACTTTTATATTGATAAAGAGATGAAAATTGATTTGTATGCATATATGGACTAATTTATGAAATGACTATCTTAAAGTGAATGATCAACTTGAGAATTTTCATTTGAAGAAGTGAAAATTTGGATTTAGAGCAACGCTTGCATACTACAAAACACGATTTTCCGATATGTTTATAATTTGTATATTTATAATTTTAAATTTTAATGTTTATGTCCAAGTCTTTGATAGGAAATACTTGATTTCAAGTATTTTCTATTCACTTTTACAACAAATCTCAAAGCAAACTGTTGTCCCCAGCAGGAAAACAGCCCAAAACAGTAGAAAAACTGAGAGAAATTTGGAGAAAAGACTTGTATTTTACTAGTAGATGCCAGGAAAATAGCAAAGATACAAGGATCCTCTATTCGAGAGGAGGATCACACTCTCCCAATCTCTAGAATTCGATCTAGAGCCCTAGCCACCAAAGAAGAACAAGAAAACTCCAAGCAAAATTCACATAACCCTAATCTATTCTTTTCTCCCTACTTAATGCATACAATTCAAAAATAACACAAAAGGACCAAATATCCCTTGCTTCCACTCCTTTTGGCACCAAGAAAGTATTTGAATCTCAAGTGGACCCCACTTTTTCCCCCTCCTTTGAGCCCGTCGGCCTCCTCCTTCGATAAAACATCTGGACCGGCCCAAGGGATTGGGTCGGCTGGACCGGTCTAACAGTCTTCTACTTCAATCTATGTTCATAATATATTTTTTTATTTTCATGTAGAATATTAGTGGACTCAATTTGTAGATGATGCTCGTTAATTAAATGCTTTGTAGTTAAAGTTCTTAGCTTAATATGTTCGACTTTTACATGTGTGTGTAATTAAAGCACCTTCAATCAAATTTATACAAAGCGAAGAAGTCGATTATTTGCAGATCGAATAAATAAATTAATATATGTTATGTTTAAAAAAATTGAAGGATAGACATCTCAAATTATGGAAGCAATGAAATTGTGATAACGAATTTCATCATTTACTTGTTGATAATTTATAATATGATGATGAATGAGTTACTTCTAAGAATGCTGATGTTCATGAAGTTGAAGCTGAAGAAGAAACTCATGTCAATGGGGATAATGAAGCAACCATTGTAGATATTAAAAAATCTATTGAATTGAGATTATATTTCAACTCCCAAGTATATAAAAGAAAGAAAAAAAGTGAGATTGGAGTTTTAAAAAAATTCAAAAGTATTATTAAATATAATGAACTATTTTTTATGTTATTCTTTGTTTCATTATAAAATTAATGAAATATTAATTGATATAGAGGATAAATGAAAAAAATTATACATGATGAAGAGTTTGAGGATGACTTTGACATAAA